TGGACGACGATCACCACTCTCAGTAATGCTGTTCGATTTCACACTGTAGACTTGGTAGACTAAATGGTCGACTATGACCCTGGGTGGGCTAAGACACGTCTGACCACAACGTTTATGTCAGGCTCGTCTGACGGGAGTCGTAGAGTACGTATCTATGGTTTAATAACCCGCCCTGAGATAGGACACAACCGGAATCTCTTGCAGCAATAATAGCTGAGTCATCATGACAGCACTCTTGAGTTGGAGCCTACGTACTACATACTACATACTACCTATGACACTATCAGGCGTACTATAGTTGCTAGATATTTCGAGTGCATTGGTGACACACTGTTGTCATATATGGTAGATGGGCCCTTTCCAATCTACATTATCGGTCAAGCAAACTAAACCCCAACTCAGTTGAAATGCAAAATACAAGTATTATCGTGCATGCACCTCAGCCCATAGCGGATTACCCCTCCACGTAGTTCATGTCTTGGATAAACTGAAGAGCAAGTTACAAGCTTGTCCATTTAATTATTAGCTCAGCGGACGAGTGGGACTAGACGCCTTTGCTTCATTTTCGTTTCAGAATCCAACTACACAATGACAACCCACTGAGCCTTCACGAGCTTTATCGCCGATTGAGAAGGAAGTAGAAGTTATCCCTGGCCCTGCCGTCACGTTGCAATACGCCGGTCATACAGCAGGTTGTCGTCATGGCGGCGTATTTTTGAGTGCCTCGTGTGACCATGCACATGTGGCTTGCTTCCATGATCACACCAACCCCCTGAGGTTCAAGAATCTGCTGAATGGCATTGGCAATCTGTTGCGTGAGCCTCTCTTGGAGTTGTAAGCGCCGAGCAAAAATTTCTGCCAAGCGAGCGAGCTTAGAGAGACCAAGCACACGGCCATCGGGAATATAACCTATGTGGATCTTTAAAAAACAATGAGTAAATCGAAGCTCCCAGCCACACAAACTATGTCATACCTTTCCGACAAATGGCATCAGATGATGCTCGCAGAGACTAGATATCTCTATATCTTTGACCAGCACAAGCTCCCGGCTATCGACTGTGAAGATAGCATTGCCAACAACATCCTTGGGATTCTCAGTGTAGCCCTTGGTAAAGAATAAAATTGCCCTGGCGTATCTTTCGGGGGTTTTGGCGAGGCCTTCACGGGTTGGGTCTTCTCCGAGACATTGCAGCATATCTTTAACTATGGTTATCAAGCGGGCTTCTATTTCAACGTATGTCGAGTTTCCTTTGTGCTCCATCAGTGGATATGGTCTTATAGATGCCGAGGGTATATACCTTACCAGCATTTGCATGTGTCCCTTTGCACTGTACCTCTCCAACAAGCAAAGTGCGGGACGTTGAAGTAGTCGTGCCATCAATGGTACATGGTCCGGTCTTAGCATCCTGAAGGTCTGTCGTAGATGTTGATGGCGCCTCCGTCGTATCACGAGTATTAGTAGGTATATTCCCGCTAAGAATTTACCAATAGATTAGGATCGATGCCTTTCTGTATGGAGGAGAAGTTCAAGTATTGCGTCAGATGTAGGTAGGAAGGTTATATTGGGTCCAAAGGGGTCACCTACTTATCCTTACATCTCGTCATGTGATATTCCGCCCCAAGAATTTCTCTCGTACGAGGAGGGTGGGAAAATGCGGTAAATCGCTACTGAGACCGGTAAGAAAAAGTGGCTAGACTGCAATATAACGGCAACAGATGGCCGTGCGCTTTTGCAAGATAAGTTAAACCGAACAGAATTACGAATAGCTGCTCTGCCTTAGGATTGGCGTGCGCCTTACTAGTTGAACGCGGGGAAGAGAGTTCCACTCAAAACGCAGTTTGCATAATATTATTGGTGGTCAAAGTCATGATGAAAAAGAAGATGAACTATCTGCACATGAGTCGAAATGGTAGACCCTTGACACACGGTCAGATTTGTTTTTAGTCATGGAGATATCGTCAGTACGAAGAAGCTGTTGACAGTAAACGTAGAGATGGCCTCACTGATGGCCGTGAGCCGCGAAGAGGCACAACGTTTATATAGCAGATCTGCATTGCATATTGAGTCCTGCTCCAGGACGCCATTACGTATGTGTGCCCCCCCTCTCCCCTTCCTTTTCTTTTTCTTTCTCCTCTTTTCAATTTTCCGGATTTGTCGGTGAAGCTGGTTCTACGCATTGCCTTGCTCTTGCTTATCGTGCAAGCTAGACGGATTTGTATTGCGAACTCGTGACACAGCTAGAATGCCGACAGCACTTTCCCTGAACGCAGATCAAAGTCAAAACAGGTAGCATCCTATGGGCAATACAGTAGACATGCTTAGAGAATTTACTTTCCGAAATAGAGATTATACCGCCATGGTTTACATTGTTAATGAGCGACACATCTTTATCCTTACTGCCATGTAGATCAGTCAGAACATGAGCATGCATTGTGACATCTCAAGTGCTCACCTGGCTAAGTGATAGTGAGAAGGAACGACGCGACTCACTTATAACTATACAGGCTCTTATGGAGCGTATTATACGCTTACCGCTTTATCTCAGTGCTGTAGCAATGAATTTCCATTGTCGAGATTCATCTTGAAGACGTCGACTACGATGCGGTGCACATTGTCTCCGTGGAGACCGTGTTGTAGGATTAGATCAGAACTCTGCCAGATTACTGCAGTGACAGGGATGGGATAGCTCCAGAACACTATCGGAGAACATATCTCTCCTTGACTTTTTGTCTTACGATAATAGCAACTGGGGTACTTTGGCAAGGATAATTACTCTGATGAGCATTACAAAGCACCTGCTAGTACTGAAAGATGTAGATAAAATGTAGATAGACCTAGAGAGTAATGCAAGGGGAGAAATGTCATAGATTGCGGGGATCATATCGCAACTATCATCCTAGTGTGATATTATTCCCTATAGATCACACTAAGCAGTACCATAGACCAAAAGGCTTTGGATATTGACTCCCCCAAACCCATTCTGGCGCAGAAAGTCGCGGCCACGGTGAACAGGGAACTCGGCAATTACCAAGATACTGATGTTCGTAGCAGGAATTCCAGCTTTTCCTAATATTTGTAGCACCGCAACAAGGGTTTCTCCGGTAGCAAGAGTATCATCCACCACTACCACCGAAGCGCCTTGAGGAATCACATCTCGGCCTATCTCAATTCGCTTCGTTGTCGGTGCATTTAACGACAACGATGATATATGCGATGCAGACCTGGAGACGGAAATGGTGGGCGGGGGAAGCTTGCCGGCTTCGCGAATGAGCGCCAAGGGCACATTGACCTGTGAGGCCAACAAAGGGGCGAAGACTAAGCTGCCAGTCTCGCAACACGCTATTATATCCACTTTGGCCCAATCACCTGCGAAGTGATATTGTAGCAGGGATGAACACAGGGCCAGCCCCTCTGGTTGCTGAGCGATGTTGAGCACGTGACGGAAGTCGATTCCCGCGCGTGGGAATCCAGGTACCAGGCGTACCATGTTGGACAATTGCCGCAAGTCCTCATGAAAGAAGGGGAGCAGGTAGTCTTCAGCAAACCTCTTAACCGTCTCAACCCCGGCCGTGTCATTGTCGAAGAGAAGTGTAGGTCTGTAGTCCAAGGCCGTCGAGAGCGACGAGATAGTGCTCGGTTCGTTTTCTCTGTTAATCTTGCTGCCGTCGGCGGGGCGTTCATCTCTATAACACCCTCCGCGAACTCGCCGTATTTTGTCACTAGCTTTGACGCGAACTTCAATCACTCTGTTGTCTGGTACTAGATACGACAAAGCCGCGACCGGCGCTTTGTCTCTCATTCCAGTCAATAGTAGCACGTCTAAACCTACGGCTCCGCGCACCACATTCAGAAAATGCTCCTCTGGAAG